ACCAGTTTCTGTAGCTATTGATGCTAGTGGATTTGAGTTTCAATTTTATTCAAGTGGTGTGTTCACTGGTTCCTGTGGCACTGACTTGGATCATGGTGTCACTGCTGTGGGTTATGGAGTAAGCGGTGATGGAACTAAGTATTGGTTGGTCAAGAATTCATGGGGAACACAGTGGGGTGAAGAAGGATATATTAGGATGCAAAGAGATGTTGCTGCAAAAGAAGGTTTGTGTGGCATAGCAATGTAAAAGAAAATAATGACAAGAGGGAATCTAGGACAAATGATTGAAAATGATGATTGGTATTAATGAAATCCATGAATACAACATATATACTGACAATGACCTAAAAGGATAAGAACAAAGAATAACAGAAAGTTACAGTTCAGAGAATACAATTCAGCCTTTCTAGAATCCTCTAGAATCTATCGATTATATACAACTTGCAATGCAAGGAAAAATAAAATAAAATCAGAAACAATTCAAAATATAATTCTGTACAAATGGGCTGTACAATATAAGCTTTAGGCAGTGTTCGGTTCTTCTTCTTTTAGCCCCCCACGAGCTGGAGGTTCAAAGATGTCAAGAAGCTCTAGCTTGGATAAATTGGAGTTGAACAATCTTGGAGGGAGTGCTTTGGTGAAGATGTCCGCAAGTTGATGTAAAGAAGAAATTGGTAATAGATGCATAAGCCCAGCCAATAACTTTTCCCGGACGATATGACAATCAATTTCCAAGTGCTTTGTCTGTTCATGAAAGACAAGATTTGCAGCTATATAGAGAGCGCTTTGGCTGTCACACTAAAAAATAGCACGCTTATAACAATGAATCTTTAAGTCCTTGAGCAAAAGGGAGAGCCATTGGAGCTCACATGTAGCAGAAGCGAGTGCTCTATACTCAGCTTCAGCAGATGACCTAGAAACACGGTGGATTGTTTTTTTGCTTTCCATGAAACCAGTGAGCTGGCAATGAAGAAACAGTAGCCTGTGATAGAGCGACGAGTATCAACACAAGTTGCCCAGTCGGCATCACTAAATCCAAGCAGTTGGGTGGAAGAATTTCTGTTAAAAAATAAGCCTCGTCCAGGGCAATTTTTCAAGTAACGAATGACTTTCATGGTAGCCTGCATATGAGTCTCAGTGGGCTGAGTCATGAATTGACTAAGTTGCTGCATAGCAAAGACAATGTCAGGACGAGTGTTTGTCAAATATATCAGGCGACCAACTAAGCGTCTATATGGCCAAGGATCAGCAAGAGGTGTGCTAGAGTCTTGATGAAGACGTAAGTAATTGTCCATGGGCGTGGAAGAAGGTTTGGAATTCATCATGCTAGAATCAGAAATTAAATTGAGACAGTATTTATTTTGACACAATGATATTCCCTTGGATGAATGGGCAACTTCAATTCCCAAAAACTTTTATTATTGAAAAATTAGGACTATATTGGAATACGATTAATGAGATAAACTGCATGTTTAATGGCATAAGACCAAAATGGTTTGGATAATTGAGATTGGAACATGAGTATCCTTGCAACATTAAGAATATGTTGGTGTTTTCTTTTCAACTCTGCCATTTTGTTGGAGGGTATAAACACAACTTGTTTGATGTAAAATGCCTTTTGAAGAAAAATATTCCTTTTGAAGAAATTCTGGACCATTATTAGAACGGATACATTTCATGGTAGAGTTGAATTGATTTTCAATAAGGCTAACAAAATTTTGAACATGTGATTTAACTACACTTTTTGATTTAAGTAAAATGACCCAAGTATAACGACTAAAATCATCAACAATTGTTAGGAAATATTTATGACCATGAACCGAAGGATGTGAAAAAGGTCCCCAAATATCCATGTGAATTAAATCAAAAGGACTTGAAGCTCTACTAACACTTGGAGAATAAGATAACATTCTTTGTTTAGCCAAATGGCAAATATCACAATTCTCATTAACATGCTTTGAAATAAAAGGAGAATTCATATGAAGAATGTTTAAACAATTTTCGGAAAGGTGTCCTAATCTAAAATGTCAAAGGTTGGTGTTGGTCACAGGTGGAGTGGAGAAATTATTAATGGAGGAGACATTAGGCGGATGGATATTAGAATCCTTGTTAATGACCAAGTGATAAAGACCTTGCTTTAATTTAGTCAAACCAATCATCCTCAAGGACTTCATTTCCTGTATGTGACAATAATAATTAGAAAAAGTAAGAAAATAGTTGAGAGAAGACATGAGTTTGGAAATTGAGAGTAAGTTGAATTTAAATTTAGGTACATAAAGCACATCATAAATTATGAAATTTGGGGTGAGTTGGATAGTTCCTGAAAAAGAAGCAAAGACAATAGCACCATTGGGTAAATTTATTGGGACAGGGTTAATTTTAGAATAGTTGAGAAAATATTTTAAGGAGGAGGCAATGTGGTCTATAGCCCCTGAATCAATTATCCAAGGAACATTTGTGTGTGTGTGTGCATCAGATTGGGAGTCAGAAAAGAAAAGATCGTGACTTGGTGTTGTGTGTGAGGTGGTGCAAAAAACAAAAGGGGTACCAATACTGAAATCAGTAAATTGAGTTGGGCCATTTGAGGTGACTTGAGTGAGATTGGCCTGTTTGGGCTAGACAGAACTTGTTCCATCAGCGTCAAGGATTTGATGCTGGAGAAGACTCATGAGGCTTTGATATTGGGCCTGGGTCAGATTCAAACCGGGTTTGCTGCTAGATGAAATCTCCATGAAAGCAGGATGCGTCTCGGTTGTGGTTGCATGGGTAACATTGTTAATAGAGGATTCACGATTGTGAAATCTTGGGCGCCCAGGGTGGCGTGGATGGCCAGGAGGATAATCGTGCTTGGAGTAGCAGACATCTACGGTATGTCCAGTGCGGCCACAGTAGATGCACCGCTTGTTTGAGTTAGTGTTTCGAGTATTCCTTAGGGAATTGCCGGAGGACCGCCACCATGACCTTTGCCGGAAGAGGAGTAACCAACATTGACAAAGGAGTTGGGTTCGTTAATTATAGAAAGGGAGGAGTGTTGTCGTTCTTGTTGAACAACCATAGAGAAGATGCAGTTGACGGAGGGCATAGGGTCTAACAACAAGATCTGAGAACGAACTACAGAAAAATGATCATCTAAACCCTTCAAGAAACGAATGACGAAGTCCTGTTGATGGTAGACTTTCGCAGAACAAGTGCATACAGGAAATGGGCAAAAGTTGTCAAGTTCCTCCCAAAGGGTTTTGAGAGCTGTATAATAATTAGAAACAGTACGGGAGCCTTGCTTGAGCGCATAAATTTCTTCTTGGAGCTCTACAATTCGAAGCAAGTCGCTCTATGAAAAGCGTTCTTTGAGATCGGTCCAAATATCTATTGCTTGATCAAAATAAATCACACTCTGTGCAATGGAAGGAGACATTGAGTTGATGAGCCAAGACATAATGAGTGTATCCATTTTGTTTTTGGAAATCAAAGCCATGCGAAATGAACGAGACCAAGAGTGATAGTTGGAACCGATGAGAGCAGGGGTAACGGTGACCGAAGTAGGACCTTCACTGGGATGAATGTAATAGGGACTAGAGGGATTGAGACTTGGATCTGGTTGAGGATTATTATTTATTTCCAGTATTGGAGTTGTTGTCAGGACCAGTGTTAGAATTTTCTTCTTCAGACATGGTGGAGAGACGTTCGAATTAGCAGAGCTCCAATTGGAGCTCTGATACCATAAAAGAAAATAATGACAAGACGGAATATGGGACAAATGATTGAGAATGATGATTGGTATTAATGAAATCCATGAATAGAACATATATACTGACAATGACCTAAAAGGATAAGAACAAATAATAACAGAAAGTTACAGCTTAGAGAATACAACTCAGCCTTTTTAGAATCCTCTAGAATCTACCGATTATATATAACTTGCAATGCAAGGAAAAACAAAATAAAATCAGAAACAATTCAAAATATAATTCTGTACAAATAGGCTGTACAATATGAGCTCTAAGAAGTGTTCGATTCTTCTTCTTTTACAATGCAAGCTTCTCACCCAACTGCATAATTGCTATACTTTAATACTACTATTTCCTAAACTATATATAATTACAAACCCCAGAAGTGTGGTAATACTATAACATTAATAGGTTTGAATAGCTTAGAAAAAGTGATAGATTCAAACCTTGTGTCACTGTTGTATAAAAAATCATATATAATTAAACTTATATACTTTATAATATAAAAGTACATCATATTTGACCTTTCTAAAGTTTACTCCAAATCAATGTAAGTACATACAAACTTCATATCTTATATTTACCCCATTCATTTGGTAAGGAGATGATAATATATTTATTTATTTTCTATTTTTTTATTTTTTATCATTTAGTAGGGGCGGGTCTGAATTTGAGTAGACAACTACACATGTAAACCTTAGCAATTCCTACATAAAAAACTATTTAGGATTGAATATTTGGTTTGAATTGAATAAAAAGTCTTCCAACTCATTGATGGCCTGATTAATCAAAATTGAAAATCGATCATGCTATAATCAGAAAATAAAAATAAAAATACTGCCACCCGTAGTGCTTCGTAATTTGTTCATCTTTTGTTCTAGTGGTTGATTTGCTTACTCAAAATCGGTTTTAAATTTTCTAACTAAAACAAAGTGCTAATTCATGTTGTATATTGAGTTAGTAAATTTTAAACGTGTCCAACTAAAATAATCCTAAATTAAAAAAAGTAAAAATAATCTATTTTTTATTTATTTATTTTATTTCGAAAATTACAAATTTTTATCTAATAATCTGACCTAAACCAATCCAAACTTAATTAGATTAGTTTGATTCTAATCGAGTACCACATACTTTTATATTTTGAGCTGGGCCTTGAGTATAGGGTAGGTGGTCTGGGCCCGGGCCCGGATCAGTAGTTAGAGTGACTCTTAAACGCACCGTTCCTTGGGCCATATATAAAGAAGTGAAAAAAACCCGAAGAAGGAAAACGACGCAGAGTGAGTGGTGACCGCCGTTGGTAATGGCCGGCAAAGGTGGAACGACCCCGGCGACATACTCGCCGTCTCCGACGACCGATAAAAAGAAATCACCGCTTTTCAAAGAAGATTGGATCCGACCCGATGGTCGCGGTTTCCACCAGTGCAGACCTGCCTGTAAGCCACACCTCTTTTCAAATGGAACCATTTTGTTTATTTGTTCTCAATGCAATTGCAATCTTAGTTGATGCTTTATCATCATTATTTATGATTAGTGAGACTTTGTTTAATTTAGCGTAGTGTTAAGGTTTTTATGTGTACAAAGTCTTAATAGTGATTTCTAACACTGAACTGTTTCGATTATTAACATTACATGCTGAATTCTAAAAGTAAGGGTTTCATTGCATGACTTTTAAGCGTGTCTGATCGTTGGAATGAACCATTGGAATCACTTATTTGCTTTGAAGTGTTGATTCCTCGATGGTTGATTGGTTTATGATAAGCACATTAATAGTTAATGACTTGCAGTTTTCAGGACTGGTGCTGTGAATGCTGCATCTGGATCTGCTTACACGGAGTTCGGAAATACCAAGGTCATTGTATCTGTGTGAGTGGCTCTTTCACCTAAGAAATGTGTTTCTTCTGTTTTTGTTGTTTGTTATGCTTTCTGCCTAATGTGGTTATTTATTTGTATTCTTTTAAAATTTAGATTTGGGCCAAGAGAGAGCAAGAAGGCGATGATGTACAGTGATATAGGGCGTCTGAATTGCAATGTCAGCTTCACAACGTTTGCAACTCCAGTTCGTGGGCAGGTATTTAAAAGGATATACAGTTACTGATTCTGTTATGCATTCTTGTACTTCTTATACCTTGTGGCTACTTTAATTTTTAAGTAGCCTTTGATATCTTAAATCCCACAAAGTTAGGGTTCAGACCACAAAGAGTACACTTCGATGCTTCATAAAGCTTTGGAGGGTGCAATAATACTGGAAAGTTTCCCCAAGACAACTGTCGATGTTTTTGCTTTGGTGCTGGAATCTAGTGGCAGTAAGCTTACAATGCTATATTGGTTTCATTTTTAATTCGTCATGATATTGATTTTGATGGTTAGAAGTTTATGGACAAAAACATGTTGAATATAAATTATCCAAAAAACAGTCAAAAATAAGCCTTAGTTTATTGTGGCAGTAGTAACATTAGTGAGCTTGTGGCAGGTGATCTCCCAGTTGTCATATCGTGTGCTAGCCTTGCCCTGGCAGATGCTGGAATAATGATGTATGATCTTGTTGCCTCAGTTTCTGTGGTATGAATCTTACTCAGTTACGCTCTTCTGTAATGTCACTATCCCTAATATATACTTGCTTTGTAGGGTGCTATAACTGTATTTCCCATTTATAACTTCTCTTGAAATCGATTTACTATAATATCATGTTCTGCATTCCTTTTCTCGTCTTATTTCTGACTTACATGTGCAACACGTTATGTACTTTGTCTTCTGTAGCCTAAAAACACATTTTTAACCACATTTTTTTAATGCCAACTATTTTTCTGCGGATACCAAATTCTATGGCATAATTGTGAGTTTGCGTGCTATTTTTATTGGATGGGTAATCTGGATTTGTTAATATTAGGTTCTCAGTTCTCTTACAAAAATAATTATGAGAAAACGAGATCATCGTGAGGAAGGCTAAATGACCTTTTACCTATCATGACTCTACCATAAATTGTTCCTTCGTGACATGCTTATTTTGCAGAGTCTCATTTAATTCCTTTATCTCATAAAATGTAATTAACTATTATTTTTATTATTATTATTATTATTATTATTGCAGTCATGTCTCTGTAAGAACCTTGTTATTGATCCTATTCTGGAGGAGGAAAACTGCCAAGATGGTAGCCTAATGATTACTTGCATGCCTTCTCGCTATGAAATCACCCAGCTCACTGTTACTGGGGAATGGTCCACCCCAAAGATTAATGAGGTCTGATTATTTTGATTTTTCTTTTATTGTTTTATGGAAATGCCGAATTTGAAATCTTTTAGCTTTTGCAGAAATGCCTATTTTAAAGTCATGAACTTACGTCTTGACCTATGATGCCCAAATAAATACTCTAAAATTGGTAAAATATCGATATCAAATGTGTATCCAATACTGATACGGATATGATATTCCAAGATACATATCCAGGGAAAATCCTCTAATTTTTTTTAGTTTATACTTTAAATTTATTATATAGTTCCAATACGACTTAATAAACAAAGATACGAAACGTTGATATCTTTCAATTGAAACAACTGTGTTTCAATATTGACCCAAAGCCTCTGTTACGAACGTAGCATTGTCACAGGAAAATCACAGCAAAATGGGAAAGGACCAGTGCTTGATGGTCTCAAACATATTGGTCTCATGCGTCACTTCTGTTCTGTCACTTCTGCATTGCATGATCATTGATCTTGCATGTTCTCTAGTCTTGCACATCACAGACACCCCTTCACCGATCATTGAAGCATCTTTTTCATTAATCATCATCCACTGATATGGTTATGTATTCATGAGAAATAATCAATGTTTCATTACTAGTATTGTAAATTTATTTCAAATATGTGTGTGCACATGTTTAAATTCGTGTAAGCATATATGGTGCCTATTAGTACTTTATTTAATCGCAGTTAATAAATATAACTGGAATTGAGTCACGGCTATCTCCAATTTATAGAGGTGCAAGTGGATGTAAAGATATGTTATAAAATACCTCCTGTTCGGAACTGGTGATATTATTAACATCATATAATGGATATAGATGTAACGAACTCTACGTGACATTTTAGTTTTTTGCATGCAGGGAATGCAGCTGTGCCTGGATGCTTGTGCAAAGCTTGCTAAGATTATGAGGTCATGTTTGAAAGAAGCTGCTTCGGATTCACAGGAATAGAATGAGAGACACATGAATCGGAAGATGTGCTGTTAATTTTTCTTTGGTTTCTACCTCAATGTTTAGATAATTGTGTTGGAGGGGGAGGTAGGGAGAGATGTGTCTTGCATTGCATGTCCTGCAAATTTTGTGTTTATGAGCTTGTCAAAGGTGCTTTAAAAGTTATTCTTATAGCTACGGCAATATGCATGCTACATAGTTTAGTGAGTCAAATCACTATCTCACCTTTGGTGAGTCACGAAAATGCTAGCTTGGGGAGGTTGAGCCGAGCTGACCATCTTAATAGAAAAAAAATCTGAAAGAAAACAGAAAAGCCAAAAAAAAAAAAAAACATGCAAAGTAAAAAAATTAACGAGTTCTTGGATATTCTTCCCATGGTCATTCAAGCAATTATCTTAACCAGTCATGGCAATTATTTTTTCTTTCCTTTTCAATTAAATGCATTTAGTTGTGCACATTCAATCTCAACCATCAGGATATCATGCCACTATTATATCGGAGACGAACAAAAATGTCAAGACTACTACACAAGTTGCATAAACCTTCAATTGGGCAAAGTGTAAAAGAACCTGAACGATAATAGCAACTATGTCCGTGAGTCTCTGGAACGAATAAGAGTAGTAGTGTGTCACTTGGTGGCGTTGCTTGCAATCTGGAGACTCGAACGATGCCGAAGGCTAGAAAGGATGTGACCATGACTGTGTGAGGGGATGATTTTTACTTAAGGGGAACTTGGGTGTCTTAAATTATTTCTGAACGTGATAACAAATTTGAAAGAATTTTTTTAAGAAAATAATTGTCTTAAACCCAGTTCATTTTGGGTTGACTTGGTCTAACTTGTAAACCAGGTAACAGATAAAAAAACTTAAATAACATCAAGTGTTCGTGAATGGTTTTTTCTTTTCTTGCAACTTGATCCCCACGTGAATTGGGTTCGTTAATGAATTGTGACTAAACTGAAAATAACGATTCGGTTTCGTCAATTTCTCAATGACGTAGTCTAATTTTGTGTTTTTTGTAATATCTATAAAGTAAGGCCATACAACAAATCACAAATGTGTCCTAAAACTTAATTTAACCCGAGAAGACACTAGCTTGGAGACAGATCATAGATCTTTGAACTCAGCAGTGCTTTATTTTGGGTGAACATGCTAACATATGGGTCACAAAACTGTGCATCCAAACTCGTGCTATTCACAAGTTCTTACGCACAGTGGAGACAGTCTGTACAAGTTGATTTGGTATCATCCGGAAGGTACAACCAATCACAGTTCTTCATTTAAAGCTAACACAAGGGCTGTCAAGGCTTTGAAATCCATTCTTTCAATATGCATATATTGTATTTATTTATCTTTTCCTTCCCCATCATTTCACATAACGACAGGGAATCCTATATCCGGCAAAATATAGTAGTAATACACATTCCGTTAATATTTATCAAACTTCCACAAATAATTGAATAAAGAGAATGTAAAAATTGAGATTAATACTAAAACAATTTTTTATTTTAACATTCAAGCAATTCTTCTTTTACATTCAAAATGTTACATCAGACAATTATTTTTTTAAACCCACTTTTAAAATGTTACGTTGACTTGGATGATTAACGACGATAAATATAGATTTAAAATTGGCAGAATAATCAACATGATATTTTAAATCAAATTAAAATAATAAACACAGATGGAATAAACGCTTTTGTAGTAGCTATTGGGGGTAAAAATATTAAAAACTGTCTGATATATGTTGATAATAAAAGGCCTAAAGCAGTTGATCAACGCAACGAGATCTCGCTGACTTGTCGGATTAACACTTAATGAAAACCAGATTAGTGTAACTATACCATACTATTAAAACAATGTTACAGGCACAGCTAGTTTATACCATAATAATAATAATAATAATAATATAGGCTATGTATAATAAGTACTGAATTTACTTTATGTATACGAAAATGTTGCACCGTCACACACGGATAACGGGACAGAGAAACAATATGTGCCTTGAGGATGAGGTTGAGTTGGGACTATTGGCGTTCACATTACTTCTATCAAGGCCATGCTATCTTGTGACTTTATATTTATATAATATACATGCCTCTGTCCCTTCCCATGGGGTAATGTGTTTGTGGTTGCTGCTATGTGCTTGTCATATATAGTATGATATGATATAATGTAATGAAATATGAATTTACTAATTAAATTCATCCAATGTCGTAAAATCTACTTACTACCACTTTGTAAGGTTTATATAATTAGGAAATGCGTACACTCTATATGGTGAGTAGCACATATTTGAGTTGGTGCTATAAACGAAAATGAGTGTTTTTGGTTTAGTTTATTTTTTTTTTTAAAAAACTTTCTGATAAAATCTTCAAAAAAGTAATTATTACTTTTTACTTAATCTACTCCCAAACAAACAATTGTTTTCTAGATTCATCGTGTGCGGGCATGTATATTAAGATTAACTTGATTTCGTAAACTCAGTTTTGATAATAAAAAAAGTATATTTGCAAAAAAAAAAATTATGTCCCTATACGTGTTTATCTAAAAAATGAGTTGAAATATTATATTTTGTTACACATATACCACACTCTACGTAAAAGTAGCAATCTTTTATTCAAATCATGTTATTGAAAGAAAATAATAAAAAAAGAGTTTGAAGAATAAACAAAAAAGAGAGAAAGAACAGAAAATAAAGATTATTACAAAATCTTTTAAATTGAAAGAATTTAAAAACATAAAATTAAAAGAATTTTAAAGAATTTATAAAATCTTTTACTTTCACCAAAAAAATTTTGAACAAAAATTATCACACTCAAAGCTTTCTTCTTCTTTCTCTTTCCTTTTAAGAAAAAGACTAACTTTATGACTTAGTCTATAACTTACTCTATCCATTATTTTAAAATGATTATCGCTTTTGAAGTTAAATTTATTTCAAATTACTTTTCACTCATAAAAAGATGGCATTAATTATTTTCTCCATAAAATGCAAGTGTAACAAAAATTTTATATTTTTTCCCAAAAAAGAAATTAACCTTTTAGTCCTTGTATAAAATCTTAAGCAATAACTATTTTAAAAAGTAATCTGTACCCTTTAAATCATGATTCGAAATTAACAACCAATGTTAGGTTAAAAGTTAAAACCGATTGTGGTAAGGTTGGAAATTTGGAAATGGATCACAAAGGAAAGAAAACTATTACACCGACAGCCACTTTGTTCCGATAATTACGTCTAACAAAGTCGTAAAAGAGTTTGCTGTCAAGTGACCCACAACGGTTTTCATGTGTTTTTTTTTTCTTTTTTTCTTTTTAATATTGTCTAACTTTGAATACCCTTATATTATTTTACACAAAACTCTATCTAAGAAATCACTTTTATGATTTTTTTAAGATACTGATATCCTTAATGTTTATGAGTACACATATATTAATTGATGAATAAGTCAAGTGCCTCAAAAGTGGGAATCAGTGAGAAAAAAATGACACATGTTAAGGTTCCCTAATAACGTATATAACGTAGTCAACTTCACACGTTGGAGAAAGCAGTTACTGTATCCTTTAGGACCATCTTTTCCTCTGTCTCCAGCCAGATTATTTAGTTGGACTTGCACACACTGCATCTCTGGCTTTACCTCATCCATGCTCATTGCTTTTTACACGCTTCTCAAACACAACTTGTTCTTCTGTTCATTTCTCTTTATTATATAGAAAAATGTTATTTATATACTCATTAAATGCATATACCGACAGATAAGAAGAGAAGAAAAATAGGTAAAAAAAAAATGTGATGCATACACAAAGGATGAGAGATACAGAAAATTTAAGGTGGGGAAGAGTGTAAAAGCACTGTACCGATCTAATATGTTAATATCATAGGATATGGAAAAAATCATATTTTTTATTATATTTTAATGTAATAAATATATTTAAATAAAGTTTACTATTTTTAATTACTTGACATCAATCTTAAGAGTTAATGTTAATATTTTTTAAAATATTATATATCAATTTTTCAGATATCTCGCGTAATATTATATAATTTTATATATTAATATTATTTAATGTTAAAAAAAATTTATAAAAAATATTTTTTTTTTATGTGACCTTTATATATTTATGCAATCCATCAGAAATAAAGAAAGACCGTGACAACTGGACCATTTACTAGAAGTTTTAGGTGATTTTCATTGTATTTGCATAGGCTGTTCCGTCTTGAACTATTTTAAAGTAACCCTTTGGATTATGAATTCGGTTTTGTTTTTTGTTTTGGTTGTATAGTGCATGATCACCTATGTTTTAGGGACAAACTCTGCTTCTCACATTCTGCAACCAACCTATCTTCCACTTTTCAATCCTCAAAATGGTATTCTGATTTGCATAGCTAGAGATTGTTACAAGACCTGCAAATGGAAGAATTAGTTGGTTTTATGTGACATGGCTTTGCTTGCAGTTGCAGCAGAGCGAAATGGTTGGGGGTGTGTCTCACTTTACCTGAAGTAAGGAACTAAAGTTTCCCATAAAGTGCATCTTTTATTCACGAAATCCGTGAGCCCCATATGATTTTTTTTTATCTATTATAAGCTGAAACCGTTCTAAAGTTTCAGTTTTTGGCCACTAGTGTTTCAGTGGTTGATTTGTTTTTTTGTTGGGATCTTCTTTACATGCTTTTTGGGGACTCCCTACTTTTTTACTATCGCTGGTGTATGAAACTGGTTTTGGGTTTGACTGTTTGATTTATAATTCAGAAGTTTTCTCCACAACTTCTGCTGAATTTAAGGATATTGGACATAATCTCCACTGAGATGCAGTTACAAAGGAATTTGTATTCATTACTGAAGAGTCTCTCTAATAGCTTCATCTCCAAGTTTCATTTATATTTTATTTCATTGTTCACAACAATCCTGTTTTTATCAAACATGGATGGGTCTTTCCTATTGCTGTGATTAAGAGAAGTTGACACTTGTGGAAAATCAATATGGCTTCTGGTAGTTCTAGATTTGTGAGGTGAGTCTCTTTCCTAGTTCCTTTCAAGTTACCACTTCTTAGATTATTGAACTTCTATGCTAATCAAGTGTTAATTGCATGCTTTCATTAACATAATAAAATGATTTTCACAATTTATAAGTCTTTAATGCAATGTTTCACATTTTAGATTTCAAGATGATCCTGAATTAGTGAAAATGTCAATAACTAATGTTGACAATGGAATCAAGCCAAATGGAACACAATTAGCTGAGAATAGTGGCAAAAAGGCTCAGAAGGAGACAAGGAAGACAAGGAAGTTCTTGAAAGCAAGAGTATTGTCAAGAGTGTTCTCAGAGGACTATGATAGAGTTAGAAGAAGAATATTAGATCCCAGGGGACAAACCATTCACCGTTGGAACAAGATTTTCTTGGTAGCATGTTTAGTTTCTTTGTTTGTGGACCCTCTATTCTTTTATTTGCCACTAGTTAGAGATGAAGTGTGCATTGATATTGGAACAGCACTTGAAGTTTTCCTCACACTTATAAGATCAATAGCAGATGTGTTTTACATGATTCAGATTCTCATGAGGTTTAGAACAGCTTATGTTGCTCCTTCTTCTCGGGTATTTGGGAGAGGAGAACTTGTTATAGACTCTTCTAAGATAGCAGCTAGGTACTTGAGCAAGGGTTTTTGGTTAGACTTCATTGCTGCATTGCCTCTTCCTCAGGTAAGTTACTGGAGATTTCCTTTATCTAGAACGAAAAACGGTCTTTTAATTTGCTAAAAATGCTCCTTTTGTTATGTTTGTTATAGGTGTTAATTTGGATTGTGATCCCCAATCTTGGAGGTTCTACCATGGCAAACACCAAAAATGTCCTTCGGTTTATCATCATTTTCCAGTATTTGCCGAGGCTATTTCTGATTTTTCCACTTTCATCTCAAATTGTAAAAGCTACAGGGGTTGTGACAGAAACAGCATGGGCAGGGGCAGCTTACAACTTGATGCTGTACATGTTGGCTAGCCATGTTAGTATATGAAAACTAGACTTTTTTTATTGTTCGTATCTGGACACTGCCACTCCCACTATATATATGACACTTGATAGATTTTTCCTTTTTTTTATTTCTCTTTTCTTAAACATTTATTAAGGAAAACTTAGTTTTACATAGAGGAAAAGATTTGATGTGTAGACCAAATTCTATGCTATAAGAGGTGCTGGAAGACATTAATAGCAAATTGATTAAGCTGAGTTTCTAAGGACTTTAAATTCTTGATTCAAGTAATTTATGCCAAGCTAAACTAAAATGTTGGTCTGCTTTACTTATTTGCCCCAAAATGATCTGTTTTACTGACATCTATAGCTATTATTTGTTAGTAAATTCTTCATATGCTCTTAGGTTCTAGTAGCTTTGAGAGTATATTTTAGTCTTGCAAAATTTATTTCAGGATTGGCTGTTAAGTAACTATTTTATTTTTTGAGCAATAAGTATGTGTGTGCGCTAGATTAATAATATAAAGAAACTTAATATTATATACTTCACTAAAACTTCTTTTTTGGTTGAAGCTTTTAGGAGCTAGCTGGTACCTTCTATCAATTGAACGGCAAGAAGCATGCTGGAGGAGTGTTTGCGATCTGGAGTCAACTTGTCAATATGGATTCTTTGACTGCAAAAGGGTTAAAGATTCCCTCAGAATCTCCTGGTTCATAGCAAGTAATGTCACAAATTTATGCTCACCAAACATTAACTTTTATCAGTTTGGTATATATGGTGATGCTGTGACATCCGAAGTTACAACCTCGGCATTCTTTAATAAGTACTTCTTTTGTCTGTGGTGGGGCCTAAGGAATCTCAGGTAAGTCTTGTTGTGCCAGTGCTACCATATTTCCATAATTCCACCTATGTTAAGATTATCTTGCTTTCTTCATATTTTTATTTTCTGCTTAACCAAAAACAAATATTTTAGTTTTTCTATTTTTCATGTGGCTGGAAATAAGGATTATTTTGGATATGAGAATAAGGATATAAAAATAATTAAGGTCATTTTGATTTATAGTCAAGTTTGTTAAGGAACAGATGAAAGTTGGAATTTCTAGTTATCATCATTTAACCCTATGCTTCAAAATGCTACTTCTGATCTACTTCAAATTTTTACTTTTTCTAGAGTGAATGATAAGGTGTCTTCCCTATTAAATAGATAAAAATCTCTCATCTAGGTGATCATGAATCATGACTCACTAAAAGTTTTACTGATTGTTGGTTGCAGTTCTTTGGGACAAGGTCTTCTCACTAGCACTTTCGTTGGAGAAATAATGTTCGCCATTGTTGTAGCAACCCTTGGATTGGTTCTTTTTGCTTTGCTGATTGGTAATATGCAGGTAAGTGAACTTAACTTCTCTCTCTTAGCCTATAGCTACTTTGCATATACCAGTAATTTCTCTTTTAATCCTTACAAATGGAAAGCTAATGCTTGAAGACGAGTCCAAAACCAGCTTTGTATCAGCCAGACTCACATTGTTGATTGCTTGGAGGGTGGGATCAGTTTGTTCTTCCTGCAGAGAAAAAAAATCCCTTTTTGCACTCGTGTTTCATTCTGAGAAAAAAAATTGATAGAAAACTTCGAATACTTTCCTGAATTACTTCTAAAATCGCTTTGTAGTACTAGTACTACAGGAAACAATTTTGCTTAATGTTTGCCACATTGAATTGTGTGAAAGGACTTTACTAGCTTAAATTGACTTTGTTCTATAGGTGTACTAATAGAACTCAAAATTTTGACAGACATACCTGCAATCAACAACTGTCCGCCTAGAAGAATGGAGGGTCAGAAGAACTGATACAGAGCAATGGATGCATCACAGGCAGTTACCCACAGAATTAAGACAATCTGTGCGTAAATATGATCAATATAAATGGCTTGCCACACGAGGGGTAGATGAAGAAACTCTTCTCAAAGGACTTCCAGCTGATCTTAGGAGAGACATCAAACGCCACCTTTGTCTCGAGCTAGTTCGACGAGTAAGTCACTTAATTTTATTTGGTTAACAGATAGCTTTCAATCCTTATACAGATTAAAGATCACTAAAAAATACCCCTTCTGAAACCTTGTTTGCTTCTCTCTAGAATCATAGTGGCACTTTAGCATTTGATTTTACAAATGCCCTTCACATTTTAGGATGCATTTAGGTGATAACTTAATGAAACGCTTATTCAATAAGCTCTTATTACATAATGGGTTCATACCATAAATATGACCATAAAACTTATTGACATAAGCTGCAAAGAACTTATTTTAATAAACTAAAGAAGAAGTTTATTGAACAGAATTTAATGAGAGTCATAAATTATTTTCATTAGTAATTGAAATAGTTGTTCATGACATGTGTATCAAATCAACAGGTTCCATTGTTTGATCAAATGGATGAGAGGATGCTAGATGCAATATGCGAAAGGCTGAAGCCAGCATTGTGCACAGAGAGCACATACCTAGTTCGAGAGGGTGATCCAGTGAATGAAATGCTCTTCATAATAAGAGGGCATCTTGATTCATACACCACCAACGGAGGCCGCACCGGTTTCTTCAACTCATGCCGTATTGGGCCAGGTGATTTCTGTGGTGAGGAACTGTTAACATGGGCATTGGATCCAAGACCAAGTGTGACACTTCCCTCTTCCACTAGAACAGTTAAGGCCATCTCAGAAGTAGAGGCCTTTGCACTCATAGCAGAAGACTTAAAGTTCGTTGCATCACAGTTCAGAAGGCTACACAGTAAACAACTAAGGCACAAGTTCAGGTTTTACTCACACCAATGGAGAACGTGGGCTGCATGTTTCATACAAGCTGCATGGAGACGCTATAAGAAAAGAAAGGATGCTGCTCAACTTAGAGCCAAAGAGAATAACAATAATAATAATATTCTCTCAGTTGCTGAGGTTGAAACACCAACATGTAGATCTGCATTAGTTGTGTATGCCACTAAGAGCACTACTAGGAAGGGTATGAATATGCATTCTGGAACAGGTTCTGGAGTTGTTAACTCTTTGAGGAAGCCAGAAGAACCAGACTTTTCTGTTGATGAGTAATGGATTTGGATTGTTATATATATGCATGCCCTGTGCTTCGTACTACCTCTTTGGCCTCCTCCTATTCTTTTATTGTTTATTCATTCATGTGAATTACAGCGTAGGAATTCTTGTATCGCGTTCAAATAAGTGTAAAGTTAGAATGGGAAGCTGCCGAATATCCTATCTCATCATGTTATGTGCGATCATGTTTCAAACATGTTTTTTTAAATACATATATTTATTTTATATATCTATTTTGAATAGTTTAATTGTTGTCATTAAATTATAGTGCTTGTTTGAAAACCAATTTAAAAATAAATTATCATACTTTCAATGCCATAAATAAATAAATATAACAAATTAATTTGTCCATATATTTTACCTACATTCAACATATTAAAATTAATTTTACTTAATTTTAGTGTATGTTTGATTTTTAATCTCAATTTAATGACATTGCTCGGTATCCTTTTTCTCGTTATTAGTGAATGTCATTATATAAATATCAAATATTTGAGATTATATTTGATATTTTATACAATTTTTATATTTTTTTTATCTTTTTATATACAAATCTTTTAAAGTACTTTTTAAAATTAAAAAGGACAATAAAAGTTGTCTAACTTTAGCATGTTTGGTTTTCTGTTGAGTTTACAATTTTTATTCTCTCACATTTTCTTTCTTACAATGTGGGTAACAAATATTTGATAGATATTCAAACACATATTTTAGAAGAAAAAAAAAAACTCGCCCATATTAATTTTATTCTTCTCAAATAAAATAATTTTTTGAAAAAATATTTATGGTCTAAGAAAAAATACATATTTTAGTATTACAATAAATAATTTCCACAATTATTGAGATGGTGAGTAACAAGTGTTTTAAAAATATCAATTATGAAATTAATAAATAAAATTTTAGTAAAAATATGTTTAAAAATGTGGTATAAATATATAAATAACATTTTTGTTTAAATTTTTCACTTTGAAGACATTTATTCGCATTCTACAAAATTTGTGGGTCAGAGACAAGGCGTAGGCCCAACGGGCCGCATAGGATACAGCATTGTTTGTTTTCTTCTGCTGGGCCATTCGATCAACAAAAATCACTAAATATAATTAGGTGATTAAGACAAAAAGAAAATTGGTGATTCAAATCGATGACCAAAGATTGACCTAAAAGATTCCATGACCCAAAAAAAAAAAAAAAAAAACTGTTCAATGCCGGTATCTTTATGCATGCATTCTTTTTCTTTTTTTATTGTGAGATGATATATTTAAGGTAGGACATCCAACTCAAAACTCTCCAAAACCTTGCAAATTAAATGCTTGAAATGACCTTACCCACCAATATAGGTTTGTAATCGGTTGGACTAATTCACAAGTTAGAAAAACTAAACTAAGGGAAAAGATAAATGGTTCGAAAATATTTCTTATATATATAAATTGCATGAAAAACTACGTGCATTGATTTTGGGGAAAAAAAATGATAAATTTAAGTTGGAACCACCATGCATGGTCACTCAGAGTCTGATTTGTCAAAACTTAATTCGTATTGTCTTTATGGGTAGCTAATAAAATTAAATAAAAGAGACTACTTTGTGTGTATAGTGTAGACACTGTCGGCCGAATGTTAATTTATTGTCTTTATGCCAATAATGAAAAAATATTAATTTTATTTGAGACAGACAGAAAGAGATTAAGATAGCCCAAAGTGAGTGATTTGAATTTTGGTTCTAATTAATAAATATAATGAATAAATATATGACTTTCTGTGTAGAAAAAACATTGTAGGAATGAGACAAAGGAATCTGTTTTTGCACGAAAAAGAAGAAAAAGAAAAATGAGCATGCCTTTCACGTGAAACCAATGGTGTTTTAAAAGGTAGAAATGTGTATTGGTACGAATTGTTTTGGTGCCAAATTCTTACGAAAAATCATGATCGTGTGTATCTGGTTGTGTGATGATCAATTTTATTTCTCAAAATTTCCCTCAGTTAACAGCCTTGTCAATCGTTCAAGATTCGAAAGGATTGTTTCGTACCCAATAAACAATACTCTTCAAAAATATTCATTTTACAAAATAATATGTACTAGTTATTTTCATTATAGCGTTCTAATCTATTAGATAATCAACTAATTAAGCATATATTAATCATGCACTGTGTCACTCTCAAAAGTTCACATGCTTTATTTGCCGCCATAATTATTACTTCACTAAAAAGTATCCCAATTAATATTCTTAACAAATAACTAATTAATAGATTATTATAACAAATTAGAGAGAAAATAGTAATTCAATTGATATAAAAACTTATTAAATGCCATGATAAAAGACAAATAATTATATGAAAATGAGAATAATTAATTAAGTATATAAATTGTTTCATTTTCAGGAATGAAAATTTAAGTTTACCATGTAAGAATAAATAATTACACTTAAGATCTTCAAAATTGTAAAGAAACTTTAAACAGAAACCAAAAGAAGTGAACACAATGATTTTTGAAATTGTTAACTTTTAAAGTCACAATCTTTGACTGATTGATTTCTGTCTGAATATCTATCGAGCGTAACTAAAGGATCTTCCTTACTTGCAACTGCTTTATATGATTCCCTTTGGATTTTTATATTTCCTAGAAAATAGGAATCAAAATATAAAAGTGGCAATCATTTATATTTCTTTACGCTATTTTGTTGTTGATTTCTTCATTTTTCGGTGGGGGCTATTTTGTTGTTTGTGTAGTCACTTTACGCACTGAAAACGAATTCATGATGGTGCATAATACTTGACTCTGCATATTGCATACATTAGGTCGAATCATGAACGTGAATGTGTTCCACCGAAACATTCATTTGCATAGCACAAGAAAATTGTATGGCACCACGTGAAGTTCTTGCGTGACATGAAAAGGAAGCTTATTCAAAAATATTTCGAACAAGTTGGAAAAGTTTGCCGCCAGTGCACTATTTCTACTACAAACCCCGCTTCATAGCCCTCTACTGTTCTACAATGCTCTCACAGCACAAACCTAATTCTCTTGTGTTTTCATTGCTTTGGAAAAATTAATAAGCATGTAAATTTTAGTATGTACTCTAATTAATCTGATTGAAAACAAGTTGAAAATATTGTAAATGTGAATTTAATCCAAAAAAAAACATAACTAATAATATTAAAGTAAAAATGAATTAGAATTATTTAAATGTGAATCTAAACAAGTATTTGATGTGCCAAAATTAACTATTAGAGAAAAACAACAACAAATCATGAAATTTTTCTCCTAAAGGAAAAGGTTGGTAGACATTTGAGCGGTTGAAATATGAAGTAGACATCCAAAAGAGGGACAACAGCTAGGAAAGGGAAACAGATTTGGACCCCATTGTTATAGTCTAGTGATTCCTCATAATTAATAATCTTCAGTCCTTAGCCGTTTTAATGGGCTATTTGTCTATTAATGTTGCTCTCAGTAACTTGCCCAGTGCATTCTCTTATGCAATGTGATTAACTATGGACCCACTTTGACAATTGGCCTGGCTAGCTAGTTTCATGTGGAATTGTGTGGTTTTACTTTTAACTTTTAAGCAACCTTTGATGAACGACCTCCAAAAGATAAAATCAACCTTTTATGAAAACTTTTACGTTTGCTCGTTATCAGCATTAAGCATATGATCAACAATCACATGGAGGATATTTGGTATAGAGAAAAATAAAATCTCTATATCAATAATTATAAAATTCAAGATCCATCCCAAAGACTCCTAATTCTTAAATTTATTTGAAGTTTAGTAAAATGTTATGAAAAAGCCATTATTAAGCATTTTAAACAATGAGATATTGCACTAATTAGTTTATAAGGGAGAAGAAAGAGGGAGTTTAAGTTTCATGGAAGAGAGAAGAAGGGAACATCTTTATTATGGAATGGAAGAGGAGGTAGCGAACCCCTTATTTAGTTAATTTATAAGAAAATTTAAAAATTATTATTAATTCTTATAATGGACATATAAAATAATTAAAATCAAGTTTTAAATTAAAAATAATTAAATTATTGCGGTCTAAAGAAATTTCTTCCTTTTATTTTTCTCAATATTAAAGAAGAAACAAAATCTGGAAGAGAGAGATTTAAACCTTCCTTTCTTTTATCTGCTCTCGTCTTTTCTCATATCCATTCTCCTCCAATTCAATTGTTCCCCGCTTAATTAAGTTTTGGAATCCATGCCCATTCAATAAAAAAAATGCACACATCATAATAATATATTGTCATTAAATTAAAGTAAATAAAAAGAAAAAGGGCTCCTAATTAACCAAAGTAAGCAATTTTATAACAAAATTAACTATTTCTAAATTTACCGAATAATTTGTATAAACAATATGTGCGCTACATTTGTTTTAAGGGGGAAAAAAGGAAAAATAAATTGTGAAAAAAAAAAAGATATAAGAAATTGCCTCTTTCTTCGGTTTGGTCGGGAAAACAAGGGGGGAAAATAAGACTTGTGTCCCACTTAAAAAGCTTTCTCTTTATGCCCTTATATACCTTCTTTTTTGACACTTTTTTTAAAAAAATTTTAAGAACATAATTTTCTATTTACAAAAGATTTTTTTTCTTTCATATTTCTCTTTCACCAACTAACTTCAAATTTTATTAATTTCTTTATCACTTTCTATCTGTCTTCTTATTTTTCAAACTTTGTTTATTTTTTTTAAAAAAAGTACAATTTAAAGGGTAAAAAAGGAAAAAAAAGAGTTAAAGAAACAAATTTTAAATGTAATTTTATAAATATTATTAATGTTATTTTTTTTTATAAAATTTAAAGTTTATCTCAATAAAATATGTAGAACTTTAATCTCAGTATTTTTAAATTTTTAATGTTGTTTTTTATCATGCACATTATTAAAATAAAACTCTAACTATAATTAAAAAATAGTATTTATTGTATATAATATTAAGTTTTTTTTAAAATTAAACCTTTCATTTGTTTAGATGTTAAACTTTTTATTTTAAACTAAAATAATTTAATTTTTTA